AATGAATATTTTCTTTTGTCACATTTTTTATTTTCTTTCTTTGGATGCTTGTTAGCTCAAAGCTTTTGCCCAGATGAATTTTTCTTTTAACTCATAAATATACCCGTTGCACCCTGGCACAGTGGCTTATGCCAGTATTCCTAGCACTTTGAGAGGCCAAGGAGAGAGGATTGCCTGAGCTCAGGAGTTCAGGAGCAGCCTGGATAACGTGATGAGACCTTGTATCTACAAAAAAAAAAAAAAAAAAAATTGAGAGTCATGGTGGCACACACCTGTGATTCCAGCTACTTGGAATACTGAGATTGAAGGATCGCCTGGGCCCAGCAGGTCAAAGCTGCGGTAGCAATAATTGTGCCACTGTTCTCCAGTCTGGACGAGAGTGAGACTCTGACTTTAAAATAAATAAATAAATAAAAAATAAATAAACCTGTAGTAGAAATTTAGAAAATGTAGAAAACACAAGGATTCCTCCATCCAAAAATAACCAGAGTGAATACTTTGGAGTGGAGTTCAACATTATTTTATTTTTGTATGTGTATTATTGTTACCTTAGTAAACCACATCACAAATATATACCATTGCCTGCTTTTTTTACCCACACGTTATGAATGTTTACCCAGGGTACGAGTCACACTATAGACACAGTTTTGTACAGAAATGTATTTTATATAGTTTTTCTTAAAATGACACTGAATAAAAATGGAGACCAGTGTTAAGTCCTAATTCAGCAAAGGCATTTCTTAGCTAAGCTAAGATCCGTCCAGCTGCATTGCTTAACTGTGATTTGACTCAGGATAGTGAAACCTAGAGGAATGGAAGATTTGCTTGGCACGCTCAAATTTCAGTTGTCTTATCTTTAGCAAGAGTTGGATATCAGTCCATTGAAAATGAGCTTTCTGGCAAAGGCCTTTGCAAATGTTTGTCATTTCAATTAAGTGAGAGCTCTTGGCTTCCGGTAACAAATATGCTGATGGCAAAGTTGACATTTGCTTATTAAAATCAAGGAACTTGACCCATTTCTGTTGCAGAAGGAGGGCCAGCTTGCTTCTCCAGCAGTGTTTCCTTCCGTTCTTTGAAGTTATTCATGTAAAGCACAACCTCCTCCTCCCTCAGGATGGTGGATCATGATTTATATTCTAGAACGTTCACTTTGTGGCTCTATTTAAGCAAAGGTTCCCTAATTGAAGAGATCATAATTTCTTAAGATTGGAGGGTTTTCAGAAACTTCATATTGAGAGACTTCCTTCAAACCACTATCATTTAGAACAGAAAAGGATGACATGAGATATTTCCCTGGGTTACCTAAAAAGGAACAGATAATAATTGGGTGGAGTTGCTGTAAAAATGCAGAGAGGCTTTTAAGGATGGTTTGAGGTTAAGTTGTCTGTTTTTAAAATTAATTGGTTTCTCTTCTTGGACAAATTACACCATTTCAAGTCATAGTTGAGGCATTATTTGCATCTGTGATGGTTGTACTGCTAGTGGCTCCCTCACTGTAGTCGGTCTGGGGCACTTGAGAGGCAGGGCCAGTCTAAAATGAGTTTTGATCCTCAGTCTAATATAAGAACTTCTAGTATTTTAAAGCAAAAATACTTTAAAATATTAAGTCTTAGACTTCTGCCCTATAACATTATCTGAGATTGATAGTAAAATAGAATTCCAGCATATAGCTTGAGGGTTGGGTTTTTAGCCAGAAATGTAAGAAGCATTTTCTATGGTACCTCTCTCCAATGTGTGAGCTATTCCATATTCAGTCCATGCTTTCCTGTCTCCCTCACTTTTTTTTTCCACGACCTTCTTTTATTTGCAAACTCCTCCTTTCTCTAATAAGCATACTTCTATAATGCCAGGCAGGCTTCTAAGCATGCTACAGATAATAACTCATTTAATCTTCACAGTAGCCCCATAAGGCAGGTACCATTATTATCCCCAGTTTACAGACAAGGAAGTTGAGGCACAGAGTAACTTGCCCAAGGTGGAGTCAAGATTCTCACCACAATGGCCTGATTCCAGAGCCCATGCTCTTAACCATTATGCTATAGATTGTTTCTTTAGTACGTTGTACCTTTGAAGGTAGGAATTGTCTTGTCTACTCCATCTTCCACATAATAGTATTTTCATGGCTTCTAGGTTGCCTACTTTAGTACTGCTTCGAACTTGGTCTGTTTTATTAATTATATTAAGTACAGTATGTATTTGTTGTAAGCCAAAGGTAAATTGATTTTGTTCATTGTCCTTTTAAAACCAGTAATAAGGTGATACAATTTAGCTTTAAATTATATTTCAGAAGTACCATGGATGGTAGTGTATTTCAACTCTAGCATACCTATGAATTTTGCCTCTGAATCATTGTTTTCTTGTGGCTTTATTAAGTTGATTTCCTTCTACATGTAGGAAGTGTTAATGTGGCTGATGGAAAGTGATGAGACACTCATCTGGAAATTTTTCAAAAATAAGAGAGGCCAGACGTGGTGGCTCACACCAGCACTTTGAAAGACTGAGGCGAGAGGATTGTCTGAGCCCAGGAGTTTGAGACCAGCCTGAACAACTTGGCAAAACGTTGTCTCTACAATAAATCAAAAAATTAGCCAGGCGTTGTGGTACTTGCCTGTGGTTCCAGCTACTTGGAAGGCTAAGGCGGATCACCTGAGCCCAGTAGGTCAAGGCTACGGTGGCCATGAGTGTGCCGCTGCACTCCAGCCTGGGTGACAGAATGAGACTCTGACTCAAAACAAAAAGCCAAGTATGGTGGCTCATGTCTATAATCCCAGCACTTTGGGAGGCTGAGGCAAGAGGATTGCCAGAGCTCAGGTGTTCAAGATCAGCCTGGGCAACTTGGTGAGACCTCGTCTCTACAATAAATCAAAAAAATATAACCCGGGCGTGGTAGCATGCACCTGTATTTCCAGCTACATGTAAGGCTGAGACAGAAGGATAGCCTGCGCCTAGCAGGTTGAGTCTGCGGTAGCCGTGAGCATGCCATTGCACTTCAGCCTGGCAACAGAGTGAGACTCTGACTCAAAAATGTATACACATTTTAAGAGATGTTATCTGTGTATTACCTTTTGAAGTTGAATTGAATTATGGTAGCAATGTATAGTGTGACGTTTGCTCAACCATGCTTTTGCCGTTTTCTTCCACTGTCCTGGCTGTCACCTGGTGACTCTAGCACTTTTTTGATTAACACCATCTTTTGAATGAACGTCATGCTTTAAATGTGTATACATTTTTTTGGCCCCCTTGTATTTTCTCACAATTACATTTTTTCAAAAACAAGTAATATAAAAATTTCCCTCAGTATAGAGATGCATAGAATAAAAAGTGCAAGTTATCTTTATCCATCTACCCTCAAGTCCCTCCCAACTGTGCTACTTCTGAACCTCTTCCCCCAGAGGTTTTGTGTGTATCTTTTTAGATATTTCTCTCCTAAGACTTTCCATTAAAAATATGTGTGGATTGAGTTAATCTTTTAAGTCACTTTTTCACTATAATAAATTACTTAACTAAAACAGTTAAGTAAAATAAAATGCTAAGGAGAACATCATTTGGGAACCGTGCATTTTTGATCTTGAAACAAAATTTACTATTTCAATTTATTCTCCATGATATATGTTCCTGGAAGTAGTCTGTATAAATGAATTATTGTAGCTAAACTACTTCAGCTCTTAATACATAACATAACATATAGGGAAGAGTACAGTGTGGTAACCTTAAGTTAGTTGTTCAGCAGAATGAGGCTTTACTCTTTTTTTTTTTTTCCGGTTGACCACTATTCGTCTTGCCTGTGTTTGTTCAAAGAGAATAAATAGTTCTTTGATTCTCTGGCCTGAGCTCCTGCAGGAGTTTACTAACTGGCCTTTCTACATCCATTGGCTTCCTTCGACCCTCTACTCCACGTCTGGGAAATTCAAAGTGCATGTCCCTTCATGTTGTCTTCTGCTCCTTTAGAGGCTTCCCATGCTTTAGAACGTGGAGGTCTACATCTCTAGTCACTGCCAGGCCCTGCAGCACTTGTCTCCATCCCCACCTCCCGCCCCCTCACTCCCGGAATTCCTTGATGTTTACCCTGTCTTTGGGGCATTCTCTGTTCTGTTCGTCTGGTTTGGGTCTGGTGCTCCTTTCCTTCAGAGTGCTTTTCTTAGTTTATAATATGTATGTTAGGGTGATGATTCTCATAAATATCTCTCTGTCCTGATGTCAGCTGCGTAAGTTGGGGATGATGTTTTTGTTTACCACTGTATCGGTCTTGCTTAGCACACGCTTGGTACTTGTTGAGTGTTGCTAGAAAATTTGTTGAATGAGCAGTTTGATTTTTTGTTTTTTGTTTTATAGAGCTGAGGAGTTTGTAGGTAGGGATTTGATAGTATCATAAAATTAACCTGCATAACTAGACTTCAGTGCTCTGGCAGTTTCGTTGTCAGCCATAACTAAAACTTAATTGTTCTGAAACTGTTTTAATACTTCATCCTTCTTCTTTGTTGGGGTTCTTCGGAAAATGAATTTATTTAATTTTACTTTTTTTTTTTTTTTTTTGAGTTGGAGTCTCACTCTGTTGCCCAGACTGGAGTGCAATGGCACACTCATGACCACCACAGCCTTGACCTGCTGGGCTCAGGCGATCCTTCCGCTTCAGCCTTTAAAGTAGCTGGAGCTACAGGTGTACACCACCATGCCCAGCTAATTTTTAAAAATTTACTGTGAAGATGAGGTTTCGCCATGTTGCCCAGGCTGGTCTCAAACCCATGAGCTCAGGCATTCCCCTTGCCTCCGCCTCCCAAAGCTCTAGGATTATATATGAGCTACCGCACCCAGCAGAAAATGAAATTGGACTTTGTAATACCCAGTAGCCTGGGCTTCCATTAAGAGGAAGCAAGCAGATCAGGTAGCTTTTTATCATCCTTTTGTACACGATGATTCAAAATGAGCAGATATAGCAGTTCCCGAAAATAAGAAACTTGAAAAATAGACTGTTCTCTAACTGATATTTATTTTAATTCCAGAACGTGGTCCAAGACAATTCCTGGGAAAGTTGAATTCTTCTCTAGTGAGGGTTCAGACACATCTATACCAATTCCAATAGTGCCACTACGGGGCGTGGATGACTCCTACCCACCCCAGAAGAAATCTTTTATGATGCTCAAGTACATGCATGACCACTACTTGGACAAGTATGAATGGTTTATGAGAGCAGATGATGATGTTTACATCAAAGCAGATCGTCTGGAGAATTTTCTAAGGAGTTTGAATAGCAGCGAGCCCCTCTTTCTTGGGCAGACGGGACTAGGTACCACGGAAGAAATGGGAAAACTGGCCCTCGAGCCTGGTGAGAACTTCTGCATGGGAGGGCCTGGTGTGATCATGAGTCGGGAGGTGCTTCGGAGAATGGTACCACACATTGGCAAGTGTCTCCGGGAAATGTATACCACCCATGAGGACGTGGAGGTGGGAAGATGTGTCCGCAGGTTTGCAGGGGTGCAGTGCGTCTGGTCTTATGAGGTAAGAACAGAATTCTTTACTGTGGGGAAAGCTGTTAATTTTGTCAATTAGTTCTGAATCTATCATAGGAAACAAGTGATCATATCTCCCTTAAGGGTTAAGATGATATTAAGTTATTATACACTTTTAGCTTTAGTTGTTTTCAATTTCAATTCCTCTTGTTACCTTTTCTCTTGACTTTTAGAGCATAACCTTTCATTTCATACTTTTGTCCTAACACCTTAGTTAATAAATAATGGCATTTGGGACCTAAAGAAAAGATATATGGTTTGCTGATGGTCACAGTGATTATCAGGAAAGTCATCTTGCCTAACTTCTGCTGATTCTACAGATGTAACTGTAAGAGTGCTGACTATTTCCCTGTCCCTGTTCTCCCAAAGGCCTGACTGTTCTCATCTGGTCATGATGACCTACACAGATTAGAAACTTACATGTATTGAATTTATAAAATGATTCATGATGTAAGAAAAAGCCAGTAGCATTTGGCTTTGCATTCATTTGAACCTTGACTTTTTGGTTAGTTGTAATCTGTGAGTTTACAATATAGTTTTTCCTTGCAGAATAGGTGCTGTGTAATTTCTGAATTAAATTACCTTGACACATAAATGCAACTTGTTGAAGAAGTCTGCTTGTAGATGTTTCCTCTTTAATAGTTCTAGAGAATATCAGCTAGCTTTGAACTTCTCTCTGTTGTCATTGGCAGATGTGTTCCTCCCGCAGTTGCAGCATCTGACAGCAGTTAGAGTAAAAAAAAAAAAATTGTTTAGGTTGATAAACTACTGGTAGTTGTAAGAAGCAGAGGGAATTGCTAGATCTTTTGCCCAAGAAAAAGAATGTACTTTCTGATGGGAGCTAGTAGCTCTTTTTTTGAGTTAGTTTTTTAAAGAACATACTTAAGTGAAGAAGCAATATTCTTGTCAGTGTTTGCTCCCACCCCCAGATTTGCTTTTAAATGTCTTCTAATCAGTCATTCTGTTTCTTTTGTTTGAACTTTTAGGGAAATGGACATTTTCAAATGTACAGGGAGTGATCTTCCCGTGATTTTTAATTATAAAGTCACAAGGATACATTTTAAATACTAAATGTGATCTGTGTGAACCGTTTAATTTCTGTGTGCCTTACTCTTTCCCAGTACATAGGGAATTGCTCACTAGGCCTAGGAGATCTCTCTGTTGTCACAGATTTTTGCAGTGAGGAAAGCTGTTTGAGGATTTCATGCTGTTTTAAGCAGAATACAACTGGCAGTATTTCTGCATTGTCCCCATCCTTAATTAAGTAATTATAACTGTAGCACATTTCATTATTGTGTGCTGGAATTGTGTAGAAGATAGTCCTACATTTGAGAGAGAATTTAAAAAAATATGTCTTGCTGTGGTCATGTTGTTACATACTACTAGACAGACACCAATAAAGCCAGTATCTTTTGTTGTTGTTGTTGTTAAGTTAGGGTCTCATTCTGTCACACAGGCTAGAGTGCAGTAGCATGATCATGGCTTACTGTAGCCTCAAACTCCTGGGCTCAAGGGAACCTCCTACCTCAGCCTCCAAAGTAGCTGGGACTACAGATAGACTCCACCATGCCTGACTAATTTTTTGATTTTTTTTTTGTAGAGATGAGGTCTTGCTATGTTACCCATGCTAGTCTAGTATCTTGAGTTTTATCAAAAACTTTGATCTAGCACTAGTACCAAGGTGTAGTTAGAAAGTGTCATTCTAGGGTCGCAGGGTTTAGAAGGCTACTTTGGGGCTAGTTTTCCTTTGATATGATGTAATCACCAAAGGTCCTAATGCCTTAAGAAAGGATTCCTTTACTTAACTTGTCTAGACACTTGGAGCCACCTTTTAGACTTGATGCATCCTGTCAGTGGCCTCATCAGCTAAAGGGAGCTGCTTGATGAGGAGGTTCCCTCCCTGAGTAGTTCCCTGTCTCCCTGCCTTGAGAGCTGATCTGGGACAGTAGTGGCAAGGATCACCCAGGAATGTATAGTCGGGGTGTGCCTGCTGCTTTGCATTTCTTTAAATGCCTTATGATAACTGAGCTTTTACTGAATACTGCAGGTTTGCTCTGCAGGGGTATGTGTCACATGATCCTCCCACCCACGGTGCCCAGAATTCTTTCTTCCTCTTGAGTTAGTTACCTGTGCATAGTCTTGGCCAATATTTCTGTTGGGATCTTGTCATCTTAATGGCTTTGTTGGAGTGCTTTATTCTGGTTAGAGTGTCTTCTCCCCGACTGTGGCTTGTCTTTTCACCTTAATTGTGGAATGTTTATTATATACAAATCATGTGCCTAAGTACAATCTAACTTATTATTTTTTTCCTTTATGCTTTGTGCTTTTGTGTCTTGTTTAATAAATTCTTTCCCCCCACAAAACAAATAAATTCTTTCCTTCCTTGAATCACAAAGATTTTCTTTTATATATTTTTCTGTTTGTTTAATTTTCACTTTATTCATTGTAATTTTTCAGAATTATCTCTATTGAGGCACATAACATCTTATTAGAACTTTGATTTCTTTGATTTTTTTTTTTTTTTTTTTTTAGGTGAGAAGCTGTACGTGCTTCTAACCTAAGTTGTTATTAGGATTTATCATTGTGTTCACCACTTAGGGGTGAGACTAATCCTTCATGTGATGAGGAACTTTTATTAAATTTCCTGTAAATCTTGTTTTTCCATTAAGGCTCACATTATGAGAAATTATTGAGGTGGAGTCTTATGTTAAAGACAATTATGTTCAGCTTTGAATCTTGGAAGGTACGTTTTTCACTCTGTTACAAACCTAGCCTGAAGGTGTAATTTTTTTTTCATGTAGAAATAATTCTTTGGGATAACACATAATTAAAATGACTTCTGAGGAACAACTGTCAAAATCATAAGTCCAGATTTATTACTGAGCTTGTTTTGACAATTGTTTATTTATCAGTAAGTGGTTTTAAAACTTTATTTAGAAATAATGTTAAACTCACAGAAAAGTTACAGGAGAGTGAGAGCATGAACCTTGAAGCTGTAAGTCCTGGAGAAGAGGTGAGAGAAGCCTCAGCCACGCCTATTAAAAGTAACACTGAAAGATTTGAAACGGTAATTTATCTAAGCAAATATAGTAAGTATTGGTGTTTTTTTTTGAATCGGAGTCTGACTCTGTCACCCAGACTGGAGTACAGTGGCACGTTCATGGCTACCTCAGCCTCAACCTGCTAAACACAGGCAATCCTTCCACCTCAGCCTTCCAAGTAGCTGGAACTACAGGCATGTGCTACCACGTCCAGCTGATTTTTTTATTTTTTTATTTTTTTCGATTTATTGTAGCGATGAGGTCTTGCCAACTTGCTCAGACTGTTCATGAACCCCTGGGCTCAGGCAATCCTCTCACCTCGGTCTCCCAAAGTGCTGGGATTATAGGCGTGAGCCACCACGCCCACCCAGAAGTATTCTACTATTCTAATAGGGAAACAGAAAGTTGACGTAAGTAACCTATTTATTTTAACCTTTTTTTTTTTTTTTAAGAAACAGGATCTTGCTCTAGCTCACTGCAGCCTTGAACTCCTAGGCTTAGTTAATCTTTCTGCCTCAGTCTCCTCAGTAGTTGAAATAAGAGGTGCACACCATCATGCCCAGTTAATTTTTAAAAATTCTTTGCAAGAGGGATCTTTCTACATTTTGTAGGCTGATCTCAAACTTCTTGCCTTAGGCAGTCCCCCTGCCTTGACCTCCCAACACTTTGGTATTATATTGTGAGCCACTATACTTGGCTTATTTTTAACTTTTTAATTGACATATACTCTACCTATGAGAAAGTGCATACGTTTTAAGTGTAGAGCTCAATGGATTTTTACATCTGCACACAGTTGGGTAACCAATATTGAGATCTTGTATTATTTTCATACAACATTTGACTAGTAGTGAAGGTGTTTTGGGTAGACAATAATGATGATTATTAATGAAATTCGGAGATAGGCAAAGGTAGATTTGGCAAATTTAAAATATTGTCTTTAATAGCTACTACTGTCACATAGGTCAGAATTCAGAAATGCAAATGGTTTGTAGGGATGTCTTCCCACCTCTGTCTCTAATCCCTGGGCTTCCCACCATGAGTCAGCCATCATGGCCTCTCCTTAAAGAGGTATCATGATATTATATACAAGCAATTAAATTTATCTCCCTACATTTGCATAAATGGTAGCATGTAATACATACTGTCTACATCTTGGAAGATTTTCCATTTGGTAAATAAAAGAACTTTATCATTTTAATGCACATTCAGGCTATTTCCAGTTCTTTCAGCAGTGTTTCTAGTCAGTCATTTGGCCCAAGGCTCTCCAATCTTTTTTCACACACATTGAGGAGACTGCCTCCAAGGGCTCAGATACCCCAACATACACACACACACACACACACACACACACACATATCCCCATTACGCCCTAGACCTGGTGGGATTGTTATCTGGGCTCACCTGGAACTGCTTGTGATATACCTTATACCAAAATACACCAGTTGTGAAGCTCTGAGTTAACCAGTAATTGTGACTAATTCAGAACTGTCATCTGAATTAGCAGGAAAATTGCAGAAGATTGAAACATGAATGTCCTTCTTTTTCTCTCTCAAGGACTTTAATGGAGGACACAGAGACCATTCTGTGTTCATGAAACAGTTGAAGATAAATTAAAAGTATAAAACCCTGTGATATTAATTTTAAATATAAAACGGTACAGGAAAGGGTGAGATTGTTTTTTTTTAATTTTTAATATGTGGTGTACAATTCAGAGTGTTTTTTTAATGGGGAAGATATATCATCAAGGGAAATTGGAGTTTATAGCAAAATATATAAAAAGAGAAAGTTTTCCTTCTTAGTCTGACTGGCTTATAAAGAAATGTTGAGCATCTGTGTATCGGAAGCCTGGGATTTTTTTTTCCATTTAATAATAGAAGAAATAATGTTTCTTTTTTAGAAAATTGTCACATTGTAATTATACCTATTTATTGGATACAGTTTAATGTTT